TTAAACAATTGATTGCTATGTCCGACTTATCGAGTTTAGATATTTATAATTATTTTATTTTAATAAACTTTTAAAATAAATCAGTTATAAGAAAAGATCACCATGTTCGAAAAGTTGCATAATGCCCATACGTATAGTGCTGATCTGCCCATCCTTAATATCGACATTAAACACGAGTATTTAAATGTATAAACTGGTTAGGATGATTGACCCTAAAAAATTTATTTGCTCCGCTAAAAAAAACTATTTTATTATTCAACATCCAGTTAAACCAATGGCCCAACCTCAAAATCAATGGGCTTTTGCTAGTATAAAGTATTCATAATGTTGCACTGAATTTTGGGATTCAACCAAAATCAGTGCATATGTAAGGATCCTAATACGCAAACTTGTTAATAAAAAATAGTAATATTTATTATATCCCAGCTCCTAAATAATTAAGTAATAACAAGAAAAATTTTCAAATCTAATTTAATGGATTCGAAACTAAGAGAAAATACATTCATCAAATTAATACAAAAGTATAGAATACATGGTTAAACAACAACACATAATAACTTATACTCCAAGTATGTGACTTAGACTACTTGGACAGTATGTGCCCTTTGTTCCATTGTATTATCACGTGCAGTTTGTTGATTCTTATCCATGTTATCATGATATTTTTTTCCAAGACAATCTCTAGATCTATGGATCCGAAATGTTATAATATATGCAATTATGAAAATAAAAATCACCAAAACACACCAACCGATAACTCGTATACCTTGATAACGCCAATTAAGAAAACCATACACCGGAAAATCATATCTAAAATAATATAATAAAAATGATTAATTAAATTAAAAAAAAAAAAAAAAAATTTATTTTCACTTTTCAATCTTTCTTACGTGGCATCAATTAAAGCTGCTTCAAAAATATAAAATATTACTAAAACTATTGTTATAAAAGCAAATCTCCATACAATTATTTGCTTATTTAAAAACAGTTCAATCAGTGTAAGAATAATATCCCCACCCCAACGTGATATCAAAAGCCACCAATTAGATAGATAATTAGTGTAGCTGTTGTAGTTGTCGTAGTGGTAGTGGTAGTCGTAGTATTTGTAGTATTTGTAATAATTGACAAAATATGCCCAAAATAGCAACATTAAAATGGAACTATCATCATTGTCATTATTGTCATTTTTAGAAACTATATAAATACAAATTATTTTTCTATGGAATTGATTTGAATAAAAACTCACTGGTAGTATACAACTGTATGATAAAGCATCCAGAATGAACAGTCAAAGCACTTTTGAGGAGTTTGGTTAAATGAATTTGTTCCAGTTTTTACATAACCTATTGAATAGAGGAATGCAAACTTTATATTTTTTAAAAAAATAATACATTACTTTTTTTCTCTTTTTGAAAATAAATTTTTTTTTCAAATAAGTAAAGGAACCTTACAGTAAAATAAAATGTTAATCCAAGTTAACTCCAATTTTCAAAATAAAAAAAGTATTCAGCAGCATATTTAAATAAACATAATAACAAATTCATCCATGTAATTGCTGTTGCCATTCCTCTAAATATCAGCAATGTTAATGGGCTGACAAACCATGAAGTCACGGAAAGCTCAGGATTAAACTTCATTATTTATTTTTGATTTTTTGTCAAGGAAAAACAAAGTCTTTTAATAAAAATTAAAAATAAATGATTTCTTTTTTTTATCAATGAAATTCAATTCTAAATGATTTCTTGATTTATAATTATGTGTGAAAATAAACACCTAATTTGTCTTCATGCATTGAAAGAAATTTCATAAAACCGACGCGCTTTATCTCTCTTACTTGTTTGTGCATGTGTGAAAAATTTTTTTTTTTTTTGAAAGCTAATAAA